TAAGGATCGAGGGCAGATAGAACACCCAGTCACCGACTAGACAGGTAAATCCAGATTTCTGTAACCAGTTCCCCCTGCGAAGGCACCCAAACACCAAAACCCATACACCTTGATGGCCGAGGTTGTCGCCAAACGCCAGCAGTTGATCGAAGTCCCCATTCACGCTGACTACAACTTCGGGAGTCGAGATGGTGATGTTCATAGTCATCCCAACCACGCGCACAACCCAGCCACTGACACCAGCGCCGAGGGGCGCCCAGCTACTATCTGAAATAAAATAAACGGCAACATTGTTCAGGTTCTTGGTCGAGTTGTCAGAGGTGCTGGAGAAAGCGCCGCCCACATACAGGTTGGTCCCGTTGAGGAACATCGACTTGACCTCGCCGTTGAGCCCATCATCAAGAGATCGTACGTTCGCATTGTCGCCCTCGGTTGCGATAATGTTGCGCATGTTACCGGATGTAAAGTTTCCTGCGATATAAGTGGCCTCGCCCGACGTGGCCAGGGCGTTGACGGTGGACCCGGTAGAAAAGTTGGCTCCCAGGCGGTTGAAGGGCGGATTTCATGAAGTCGCTGGGGTTAACAGTCGAACTCGACCGGATATTCGTTAAGTTCCGTTCAAGCCGCCGGTGCTGTTAATCAGGGTGAAGCCGATACGCTTAGGGCGACAAATGTCATCTGGGTTTAGGGACTGGTTTGCCAGGGGGGTCATGGTTACCCGGAGGGCGGAACCCGTTTGAACTGGCGTCGATGAAGCCAAAATAGATTTGGTCGTACTTTTCGAAGTTTATTAGTTTGATAAAGGTCGACGTCAATAGGCGTGCTCCTGGTGGCATCGGCTGTCATCTGCCCGGTGAGCCTGATCTGACCCCGCGTGGTGCAAGTGTTGTCCTGGAGACAGCCAGGCGTATACAAGTTGACCGAGTAGTGGCCGGACTCCCTGATATCGGGGCTGAATACCACGGATGCTGAGGTGTTGGTGATAGGAGCTCGTGAGCTGGGCGGTCAAGTATTCTCGCAGTGCTCGAGTAAGAGGGCGTGACAGTCCACGGGTCCGGTCGAGGTAGCTGTTGACGGAAACTCCAGACCAGCACAGGATGGTTCGTTGAATTCGCTGACAGCATACGACAAGATGTCGTCCGCGAACAGTTCGATCCCATTCAAGTCCCCCGCTCGCTGCCATAGAAAGCCGAGATGTCGATGGCGGAACTTCGTTTCATGCCGATGACGTTGACGAAGTGGAAGTCCTGAAATTTGATGGACTTGTCGTCACTCAGCGGGCACTCGCTCGTGCAGCTCGCGTTCTGGCGCGTGACCGGATCTATGTAAGTGAAGTTCATAATGCCGTTGATGGGCATGGCCGTGAATCGCCAGGTCTTGGTCCCCCTTCCGTCTTGGTGGGTGTTGTATAGGCGCAGCTTGGTCGGCTGAAAGCCGTGCCTGAATTTCGCATCCCAAAAGCCCGGGGCATTATCCTGCAGCAACCACGTACTTCCTGCTCCGTCCTCGCCGCTTGTCTGGCAGACGACGTTTTTGGGGTCGCTAAACCCTGGTGTCGTACTCGAGGATCCACTAGTAATGCTCGCCGTTGAGAGATTGATGATCTGGCCGTCGGGCGTGCTCGGTGTGCTCGCGTTCCCTAGTCCTGTGAAACTGCCACCGAAAAGGATGTTCCCGTTGGGCGCCTTCGCGATCGACGTTACAGGGCCATTGAACCCAGCAAATGGTAGGTTGACCCAGTCTCGGCCTCCCTCCCACGCCAGCGCATTGGTCGAGTTGGCACCAACGAAGCTCCCTCCCAGATAAACCGTGTTCTTGTCCTGGTCGCAGAGCAGGGCGTTAACCTGGCCGGACAAACCCGGGAGCGGCGTTACGACAGCAGTATCCGGGTCGAACAAGGCAATCGCAGTCGATTGCATCGCTTTCGAATCGGAGTCGGGGTCCCTGATGCTGGTGAAGTTTCCACCTAATACAACAACGGTTCCATTGTCGGTGTTGAATGTGCACATGGTGCGGATTGTCGCGTCGGTATTGACGATGGGCGCGAAGAGGCCATTCGGCATGCGCGCGAGGAGCTGTTCGCTGCCATTGTTCCTGGGCGGTCGCTGGTTCTGTTCCTCAAATTGGTACAAGGATATGCCTGAAAAGTCTCCTGCTAGAACTACCCGGCCGAGCTGGGAGAGGTCGAGGTTCGGGGCGGGAACGGGCGTGAACGAGATGGCGGCCGCCGGCGATGCCGCGAAGCTAGATAATGAGAGGATGAGTGGGATTGATGAAATAAAATCGCTGCGAGCGGCATGACGCCGCCCAAAAGGTAGCCGCATCGCGTCTCGGTCTAGATCTGGGAATAGTCACACCAGGCTTGGACCGACGAGCAATCAGGTTGCTCAATTAAATGTGGTCGGTTCCAAGCTGTCAACACCGTGATTCCATAGCAACTCGAGCTCGGGATACCGTCGAGAATGGTGTTTTAGTGTGGCGGGGGATTTCGTGGGCGGTAAATGAAGCTCGTCGCACGAACCACGAGCTGCTCCACGAAACTGCTCGGCCGAAAACGCGAGGTAATTTTTTTGGCGAACACAGTCGGTCGGTTGTAACGATTGAACGAATGTGGTGGAAGACGGAGTCTGGTTTCGGGAGTTTTTGATGTCGCGGTCGGCGGCGGCGAGAAATAACGAGCGTCGAAAGGGTCGAGATGGTCGAATTTCGACTGGTTTGGATCGTGAGTTGGGCCTCTGGCGGCCTGTTTTCGCGGCCAGGAGTCGCACTCGTGTACGAACCTGCTAACAAATGGCAACGGAGATTGAGCGGAGTCGACTCGACCTGGAAACCCTGTTGGTAGGTCGCTGATTGGTTAGCCGAGCTCGGCCTTACCATAACGGGCTAGTAAAAAGTTCCAGAAACATGGGATAGAAGCGTGAGCGCAGCAAAACGGTCGGTTCGTACCTGGCAACTGAGACACGCAACGTTAAATGCCCAAATGCCCAAATGCCCTGCCAGTCGCTGTCAGTAACGAACATGCCGTTGCAACATTCTCGTCAAGAAACCGGTGGCGGGTTCAACGCAATCATAAATGGGGCCAAAACCAGGGCAGGCCGGGACGGCTCGATATTGGTATTGCTCGTGCAGCATCCAATAATGACAGGGTCCCGGTCGGTCCACTGCGGCCTTCTGGCCATTGGGGGCTGCGAATGCCAATAATGCCAATACAGGAAACAGGAAAACCAAAAATCAGACGGAGTGGTGCACGTACCTCGCGTTCCCAACCTGTTTGATAGGGGAGCACTGCAAAATGTTTCGGGTGGATGCAAGCCTGCACTTCGGTTTCGTCCAGACCAGACTCGGCGTCTGATTTTTCGGATCGATGGGCTGCAGATATGGATCTCGGCGGGGAAATCGGTTGCTGTGGTCGACCAAAATCACAAACTCTCAGATTGCCAATCAATATCCACCCCAACCGCTCTTGAATCTCTCAAATGCAGCTCGCCGTGGCGTACAATCTGAGACAGCACGCTGTGCGATGCGAAACTTGGTTTGCAGTTGCCAGAGGCGAATGAGCGTACTGGTTGAAACGAGTGCCGTGGTGGTTCGGAAAATGAGTGTCTCGCGGAAACGGGTACCAGCAGGTAACTCGAGCGGCTGGGTTGCTATCGATGCAATTCCAGGTTCTGGGAGTCCGCGTCAGAGAGACTGTCGTGATGGTCTGGGGAGGGGGATCAGGGGCACACACTGTTTCGTGATCGAGGAGAGGAGTACTGGACGACTTCGTAAACGCACAAAAAAGAGGTGAGGGACCGGAGCTCAGAGCCAGCTTCAAAATCCCGGGTGCAATTTGCAAGCGTCAAAAGAGTGTCACCAAATCAACAGAATTGGTAAAAAATGAGTGTGGTAAGCCTCGTCCGCCTGTCGTTGTCCAGGAAAGCTTCAAAAAGAGAAAACGACAAAACGATCAGAGCTTCGTTGGAAACAAAGCGCGCGAGAGGGGAACAGCTGTTCTGGCCCACCGCTTGTTGCATTCAGGGGCCGCTCATGGCGCAGTTCGGGATGGGATGCCATTGGGTGCCATGCATCTCGGCAGGGGATTTCCAGCCCCTTGCATATGGTTGACAACGTGGTTGTCTCCGCTGAGGTTACACTGGCGGTTGTCTGGGACACTGAACTTCAACACCAAAACCTTGAGCCCGTGATGGTCAGACGAGGAACAAAGCTAAATGGAAGAGGTGGGTGAGAGCGAAGACATATAGAAAGTAGAATGTTGTAAGTAGAGGGGAAAAAATAAAAAATATACGGGCAAAATATACTGGCACAAATACCCAGATACAGCAAGTGTATAAAAACTGGTACTTTACAACAATAATGAAAGGTTTAACTATATCCTTTGTTATTTTTCATATTCTTCTCATCAACCAAACCCGCGACGGCAGACTCACTCTAGGGACAGGATTTGAGGTACTCAGAGGAATCGGGGCAGATGTTTCTACATCTCCAGCCGCAAGTGAGCCCCCCACCGCGACCGGATCTCCAGAGATCATACACCAACTGCTGGAGACCAACCCTGATACCGGGTGCTGGGCATGCCCGCGCACGTCATGCCAAACACGATGCCCAGATATCCAAGCATGCCCGGCAGCCAGATCGTCCGTACCATGGAATCCAGCTCTATATACAGGGGTCGCTCTTAAGATGCAGTACAGGTGCATGAACCGACGGGACCCGGCGCATGTTGTTTCCTGAGCCAGCATGCTCTTTGGTTCCCACACACCGCTTCCGCCTACGCCGTATGCTCAAAATCAGGGCCACAAAAGCCAGTGTGATGTCATCGTCCAACCGTCCAGTTCCAGGCTCATTCTCATGGGTATCATCCAAAAAATCATAACCATCCGAACATTCCATTCACGCCTTCCCCTCCAAAGCCTTCATCCGCTTCTTATACTCCATCGGACTCTCCAACTCCTTCTTCTTCTTCCCACCCTCGGCAGACCCCGCCCGCTTAGCACTCCCAGCCCACAACCCAACCCCCTTCCTCTTCGCCTCGGCCTCGGCCTCCCTATACCGCGCCTCGACCTCCGCGCCCCCAAACTCGGCGCCCGTCTTCCCCTCGTAGGTAACCGCCAGACCGCGGCGGAGCATCTCGAGGCCGACGTCGCGGCGCGGGACGAAGAAGGGCGGCCGCCGCACGTACGCCGTCGCCACCACCCGCTCGTACTGGTCGCGCCGGTGCAGGTGCGCGCGCACCCGCCGCCCGAGCAGGTAGCTCTCGAGGAAGGTCAGCGCCTCCGCCGCGAAGGGCTGCGCCGGTCGCCCGAAGTGCGCGCCCTCGGGTGCGTCGACGCCCGCGATGCGGATGGAGATCTGGTTGGGGGGGTTGGCTGTTAGTGGGTGAGGGGTGAAGGGAGGGGGGGAGTAGGAGGTAAAGGGGCTTGTCGTTGTGGGTGGGCGAGGCTTACTGTTTGGCCCTTTAGTTGTTTCTTGTCCGTGGGCACACGCCGCAGCCAGCCCCAGCCAGCTAGGCGTCCGCCTGGTGTGTGGAAAAGGTGGAAGCCATCGCCGTCTCCAACGCTCGTGACCTTGCCGAAAAGGCTGCGGTTGCGGAAGAAGCTGTGCGTGATATGGCTGCTAGCGGGGAGGCGGTGCAAGTAGGATTGGTAGAAACTCCGGGCCCCTAGCGCAATGGCTACGGCGGCTACGGGGACGATCCAGTTTTGTGGGAAGCTGAGATGGTGTCGGATGGCGTCGGCCCAAGAGTCGCCATTCTTTCTTTTGAATGACCATGCGGCCTCTCGGTCGTTTCCTGTCATCTGAAGCTCGGTGTAGTTGTTTGGACGGGATTTGAATGACCGTCGTCTTTCAAAACGCTCGTCGAAAAGGGTTATGGCATGGTAGAGTGGTTGAACCGCGGGGTGGGCGGTCAGGGCCGTCGGTTGCAGCCGGCAATCGTGTGGATCTGAGCAGACGGCGGGGGGTTGGGGTTTGGGCGCCACCCCTCCATTGATGCACTAAACCCAGGCTCTCCAAAACCCCGATTTCTCCATACCAGTTCCAGACCATCTCACCCCAACGCAACCCAAGGTAAAGGTACATACTTACTTCGTACGCAGGTAGCATGTCATTCGTCCGAGAACCACCATAAAAAGGACATTTCCAGCGTTCGTCAACCCACATTTCAATGTCAGATTCCTTTCTCCTCCGTCCATGTGATTCTGGCTCTGAGGTTTCGGCGCGGCTGCCTCTTGCAATTGCCTTCCGACTAACCACCTATCGAGTAGCATCGGCAGCCACAAGTTCTACTCCCTCCCGCTTCCAAGTTTTATTCGTGGTAATGATGAGGCATTTCAGTCATAATATTGGATGATTCCCTCCAGCCATTGGCAATTCCACCATCTCTCGTTTCCGGGTGACCGAGGAGATGATCGACTTGCCGGTGACAAACATCGTTCTTCCCTTCCCACAACATCACTAGGTGTACGCAAACATTTCTAACAGTAACAGACAGTTAATGATTGATTGATTGAAACGACCCGTCTAGACTAGCCCTTTTATACCGTTACCGCATTCACTTCTTTCGTTTCCCGCTCGGCAATGATCGAGGGCAACTTCAGGGGCCAGTGTTTGGGGTCTTCTTCTACGGCGCGGTACTCCTTGTCGGATGTATCGGCCATTTCCTCCAGCAGTGAAGTATCATCGGCTCCCTCCTTGGCACCCGACTCGGATTCCTGCAACACCGTGTCGATGCTGGGCAACTCCTTCTTGCCTTTAATCCGCTCGAGCCTCTCTTTGATCGCCTTGATCCGGTCCTTGACAGTGCCAAGCTGAAAACTGTCTCCCTTCTGTCGCTTGACGCACTGGTCACACTTGGATTGGATGCGTATTACGTGAAAGGGGTGCGACCATTGTCTGTCGCAGCCGGTATCAGCTTGGCCGCTATTGAATGCCTCCTCGACCTCGCAAGGCTTTGTGATTTCTAGCCAGGCGTGGTGGTTGCAACCAAAGATGAGGCGCCTGTGGTAACACATGGTGGTAGAGAAGAGGGTAAGGGGCCAAATGTCACGACGAGCAGTTACTTGTTGTTGCTCCCCGGAGCCGATGAAGGCTGATGAATCCCGCGTTATATACCAAGGTGGGCGTGGTTGTTCAACGACAAGCGATATAAGTTTCGTTATTTACAACACACATTGTTCTGTGTGTTGTAGAGAATAACCTAAGCCTGTCCTTTGTCAATTGTGATGCCAGCCCTTATTTGTTTGTGGCTGGTTGTCTTTGTCCCAGGACTCTAGGAACATAGCTTATGTTGACAGTAACCCTCACTGCAGTGTATTATACTGAGAAAATCACATGAAACCCAACATGTAGGATGCGGAGATAAAATATTAGGGAGTGTGTTTTGTTATCTAGGTTAAACAGGGAATCAAGTTGTTGTGATTCCAAGCCAACTGGAACCAGTGTCTGCCACCATGCTAAGCTTGCGCAGTAGGTAATAAAGGAGTAAACCCCCCATTATATCCTCTCCATCACACCGCTCTGGAGAACCTCCTCAAAGTCTCTTCCCCAAACCAACTGGTCACTTTCCGCAGCCTCTTGCACATGCGGCACCTCAAACCCTATCCTCGCCAGTATTTTTAATAGCTTAGTTTCCCCGTCATCCGCCATGACCACTCCCAAGTCTGCTGCCACCAAACACGCCAAATCCGTCGCCGAATCCCCAAAATACACGACCTTTTCCCCCTCCAAACCACTCTTCGCCGACTTCATCGCCCGCAGTTTATCCCCCGCCGTGACGAGCGGCTCCTTGCCCAGCTCCGGCGGCCCCTCAATCATGCCACCCGGAAACCCAATCCCATTCGCAACCACCCTCCGAATGCCTCCATTCCCACCCGCAGCCTCCACAACCCCTTTAATAAACGCCCCCGACCAGTTGACACTCACCACCGCCACATCCCACCCCTTCCCGTCATCATTACCACCACCACCACCACCAAACCTCCCCAAAAACTCCCCCAACCCCTTTCTCACCCTCACCCCCCCTTCAGTTTCACCCCCCTGACACCCCAACCTGACCGCCCTCCTCCCGACCTCCTCCAACCGCCCCTCCCCCAACCCCCTAAAGAACCCGGCCTCACCCACCCGCCTGACCGACGCCTGCTCCACGGGCGCCACGCTCTCCAGAAAGGCCAGCTCCGCCGCCAGCGTGGCCCGTTCCTCGGCAGCGGGCCGGTAGGACGCGCGGTGGGCGGCGTGCGCGGCGAGGTAGTCGTGGACGATGGCGGTCCAGAGGGAGGTGAGGGCGGGTTTGTCTTTGTGGGGTGGGGTGGTGATGGTGGTGGGTGGAGAGGGAGGGTTTTGTTGATGGGGAGGGGATGATGAGGGGGATGGGGAAAGGTATGAGGGGAGGGCTTCGATGGCGAGGGCGATGAGGGAGGCGAGGGAGTCGTCTTGGGTTATGGTGCCGTCGAAGTCGAGGAGGAGGAGACGGGGGTGGGTCATGGTGGGCGGTTGGTTTGTTTATTGTGATGATGCTTTTGTGGCTGTTCGATTTTCTGTTGAGTTGGTGATAAAGATATGATCAGTATGGAAATAGAGGTGATGCTCTTGCTGATGGAGACCAAGAAAATCCGGCTATTGTACGGTTGTTTGGTAGGTTATTTGTAAGGTTTGGTGCAGCTGGTTCAGACCCCACAATTCCTTGGTCACTGGCAAGGCAAGCAACTGGGTGGTGAGACAGACAACTGGCGGTGACTTTGATGCTGGCAGTGAACGCCGATCAGATGCGGCAACAGCAACTGGTCACAATCTACACACCACACGCTGTTCCTGCCTTATTTTTGTTGAAGGGTATCATCCTTGGCCCTGAGACCCGCTGTAAACCATAAACCAAGCAAACTCCCGAAAACGCCGCGCCGATCCCACCCGGACCCAACCCCCGAGACATTACAAGACATCCTCCATTTTGATGTCCTCCTCATCCTCGTCTTCAGACGGGGCATCGGCCTTTGGCACTGCCGCGTCATCCGCCGGTTTGGGTAGCGAGGCGAGGATGCCCTGGTACTCGGGTTTGAGCGACCAATGGTTGGCGAAGGTGCCAGACCGGTGCAGGACGGCCACCTTTTCGAGAGTCTCGCGCAGATAGGCCTCGGGCTGCGGGATCTTCCCGCGAAAGGCCTTAATGGACCAGTATTTGTGCTCCGAGAAACACCTAGCAATTGCATCCAAGAGCTGGTTCTCGGGCCAGCGCGTCGCCTTATTCTCCATCTTCTTCGCCTTGGTCGGCTTCTCTTTGGTTTTCTACGCCATGTGTCAGTAAGGCAACCGAGTAGGGAAGAACCGGGGCCACATACAAGGAAGTCGTCCCATTCGTGGGGGTTGGTGGTATCCCCAGAAGGTGGGATGCCGTGGAGCACCGTAACCTTCTTGTGTGGCCTTTGGGAGCGCGCTGCCCGGATGGACAAGAACCTGTCGGCCTCGGCGTTTCGTACCGGGGTACAGACAACCTCATGCCTGATTCTTCCCGCAATCTTGGTTTTCTCTGCATCTTCGTTAGTAGGGTTGAGTTGGCTCGGCAAGGGCATAGAGGTACCGACTTGGAATAGGCCGGCGGGAATAGGCTGCGCCCTTTCTGCCTCGATCGGCAGCCTGTTCTGTTTGCCTTTGCTGTTTCCGCAGGAGGTGCGCAGGAATGCCCTGGGCAAGCGCAGCGGCCCTTTCCTTGTTTTTGGCTGCGTAGCTTGGTAGATCCTGCTCGGTGAAAACGAAGGTGTTGTGGACATCGTGGTTCGAAACGTCCATGTCGTACTCCTTGGGCACCTCTTGATGGGCGGTTATTTCCGGCTTGAGGCGCATTTGCAGTCTCTAAATGAAAGGGTTAGTCGTGGTGAAACGGGCAATTCCGATTGCAAGGCATGCTGACTTCTTTGCCGGTCTCGTCCGTGAATTGGCGGATTGTCCCAATCTCGATCTCGTCATCATCGTCCAGCTTCGACCAGGCTTCCCAAACATAGCCAGGCAGGCGTGTAAGGTACATGAGATCGTATGACTTTGCGTCGGGCAGCTTGTCGAAGAACTCCAAGTCGGGGGTTTCGTCAACGTCGTCCATGAAAGGCGAGCCCGCATCAGGGTCGGGCTTGATCTTCGGTTCGGCCATCGTCAGATTCTCGGATATATTAACAGCAATTAAGGGATTCGACAGAATCGGTGGTTATCGTCGTTGTTGTTGGCAAAGAGAACGAAGGATTTGGCGCAAGAATAAAGCAAGGCTAGATAGAATCCGGAAGACAGCTTAGGTAGGTAGTTGCCTTCTGAAAGGCCGAGAAGCTTGTGAGATCACTGAGCACCGCCCCTAAGCGTTGACTTCTGATTGGCTACGCTGCTCTCGCACCTGCGAGAACCGCAGCCGGCACTTGGCACGTGCGCTTCGAACGCCACTTCTTTTGTTTAAAACCCCCGCCAGCACACCACTCGTCGCACCTTTCCCAGAAACATCGCACAAGTTGCAAACGCCACCGTCGTATTCCACCATAGTTGGGATTTTGACAATCTAGATATTTACATATATCACCATGGCGTCGATAGAGGATCGAGAAGTGATGGAGAGAATCGGCCGTTTGGCTGGTCAAATCAATCGTCACAAGAATCAACAAGCGGGTGTCGCTCCCGCTCGCCATGCTCGAACGCATCATCGTATGTCGACCGGTCGACCGATTTATTATCACGCCGGAACTGACGCGTTTCAAGACGCTGGATATTCCACTGGATGGCGCCGCGGCGGGTTCCCGCATCGGGGTGGCCATTCCAGCGCCCGGATGCCCGTGTACCGCAATAGGAGCCTTGTTTTGAATAATGGAACCCAACAGAACCAGCCCGGCGACGCGGAATCAGGCACTACGTCTGATGCATCCACCTCGTCGTGGGTGACTAAGAACGATCGCCACCTACAACTGATCAATACAAACGTCTACGCCAAGGACACGCAAGCGCGAACCGCTGCCATCGAACAGACCCGTCGCCAGAAACTTGTCCTTAGAGACAGGCAAGAGCGTGCTAGGTTGACAAACCATATCAACCGGATGGTAAATAGCGGAGGATTTGCGGGGGCTAACCAGCAGGTCGCCGGCAAGTACGAGATCACCGTCCAGGGCGTTCGGTTCCTGGTCGTCAGCAACGGCAGCAAACTCGTCAAGGTTCCCGGTGCGTCGCAACCTAGCACGACAACTCCTCAGGATGCTCACATTGGCACAGGCGATAACAACTCGGCAAAGGCGACTCCAAAAATGGCACTCGTGGGGGGAGTCAAGTTCTACCGGAGCAAGAACGGCAATCTGTATCGCCACGGCATAGTGAAGGCGCAGCGGTATGTCTCCTGGGACCTCGGGGCCGGGCAACTGACCCCAGGATTTTCTGGCAGGCAATCTGGCGCTGTAAAAAAGGTCAACATGCCTTGCAAACAGTTTTCGATGACGGGTAACATTATTTCCTCGACCGATGTCCCGAACAACACCACTCCCCTGGCCGGGCTTCGGTAAGTCACCTGAGAATGAGGATTGCTAACTGAGACACAGGTTCTTGCAACCACGGGCCCCGCTGCCGCTACGTTCACGACCCGCATAAGGTCGCAATTTGCAAGGATTTCTTGCAGCACGGCGAATGCCCCCACGACGACAACTGTGACCTCTCGCATGACCTCGTTCCCGAACGCACACCGGCCTGCCTGCATTTTGCCCGGGATAGTTGCACCAAGGCTGACTGCAAGTATACCCACGTAAAAGTGTCACCAGCTGCTCCAGTGTGCAGGGATTTCGGCTTCTACGGCTATTGCCAAAAGGGCGCTAGTTGCCCGGATCGCCACGTCTTCGAGTGCCCCGACTTCAGCAACACGGGTGTTTGTAAGATCAAGGGGTGTAAGCTGCCGCATCGGGAGAGGGCAAGCGTCCTCCGGAAAGGAGCGGGCGGACGGGATCTGTCCAGCGCAGGAGACGGGGATGAGGAGATGGCAGACCTTTCCAGCGACGACGACGGCGAGTCGATCGACGAGGACGATGTCGACTCGGATGAGGTGGACGAGTTCATCGGCCATGACGAAAACGGGGGCCTTGATTTCGCGGATCAAAAGGACTTCATCGAGCTATGATGTTGTTTCCTTGACCGCGCTGCCCTTGATCTACCCATCCGCTCCATGACCTGGCGTATATCATTACTTTGATACCCATTGACGTTCGGCGTTCTCCCCGAGAAAAGAAAGAAAACAAAGCACAAAGCTGAGGCGGTGGCAGAAGGAACGGCCCATACTGGCCGCATGGTGTGTCGAGCAGTTCTGTGAATAATTATAGGCGAATCACTTTTACATAGACTCCCCCATAGAAGGTGTCAATACATGGCATTCCATGAAATTTAGATCTTCTCCAATGTACCGGTAGGTCGAATGTTGTCTCCACTAGCTCGAACGGATGTGCTTTGCCGTCCTCGCCGGCCTGCGGGCGAATCGGCAGTTGCGGGGGGAGCAACATGGCCAAGATCCGGGGAAGCTCCTCGCCCTAGACTCCACAGTCACGATTCAGAGGGGGCGATGCCAGCTCATCGGAGGATGCTCTCCTCATCGAGACTCGACAGCTGCTCACCCGAGGAGGAAGGGATTGGCTGGGGGGCAGTTAGCGCTCAAGCTTGGGAGGGGGGCCATCCCAGCCAACCTGGTGTGTCAGCACTTACGGACTGAGATAGTAGACGGGACCTGGTGACCCCACGCCGTTGTCCCGCCCGGCATCGAAGTCAGCAGCCACTCGGCGGTTATTGTGTCGGGTATTTGACCCGGTACGGGAGTGCGGTCTGGAACCATGGGTGAGATATGAAAGGTATAAATAGATGGCATAAGACGGGGGCTAGAGATTTGATATATATGTACATACTTTAGCCTCAGCTCTAACGTGGTCTGACCGAAAGCTTGGAAGCTTCCTCGACCTCGCCTCCTTGGCTGCTGAGAGATAGACTTTCATTCGAGTCAAGAATTGACGAGATAGTACGGTACAACAAAACACATCACATCAAACTGATACGACGCAATGGGTGAAATGCCAACCAGAAACGGCTACGGCCAGAACTTGGGCAACCACTTCACCATCAAGGATGCCCCCATCGAGAATTTAAGGCCATTTAGGGTAGTCGTCGTCGGAGCCGGTTTTTCTGGTATCCTGGCTGCTATCAGAATCCCCGAGCGGCTGAGGAATGTTGAGTTGGCAGTCTACGAAAAGAATGAAGGCGTTGGAGGAGTTTGGTACGAGCCCCCTTTGGTACAGACAGACTGTTACTAACAGCTACAGGTGGCTGAACAAATATCCCGGTAAGGACTGTATCTGCGGCTCGGCTGGCTTGACGCTGACATTTGTTTCAAGGAGTTGCCTGCGACATCCCGTGTAAGTGGTCCACTGAAGGGTTGACATCTCAGAGAGCTAACTAATCCCCGAAGCCCACTCGTACCAGTACTCCTTTGCCCCAAACCCAAATTGGAGTAATCTATATGCCCCTGGGGTTGAGATACAGCAGTATCTCCAAGATGTAGCCGAGCGATTTGGCGCCATGAGGTTCATAAAGACACGCCACCAGGTCGAACATTGCGAGTGGGATGAGTCCGAGAAGAAATGGTGAGTTTAGCCTTCTACGTTTACAGTTACTAGGCTGACGAGGGCCAGGAGAATTAAAGTTACCAACACCGCCACCGGAGACGCTTTCGAGGACGTAGCAAATGTCCTGATAACCGCCCGGGGGCAGCTCAGCAATATTTCATGGCCAGACATACCTGGGCTTGACAAGTTTCAGGGCAAGGTCATGCACTCGGGGGACTGGGATACAAGGTAGGCTCTCTTACACTATCAAGCCAAATGGTACACTCAACGGAAAACATGTCAGCTATGACTTCCGCAACAAACGAATTGGAATCATCGGCAACGGCTCAAGCGCCATCCAGATCATCCCCAAGCTGCAAATGGTGGAGGGCGCCCAGCTGACCTGCTTTATGCGGTCACCGACCTGGATTTCGTCCGCCTTTGGAGACTCCGGCATGACCGAGCTAGGACTGGACCCTTCCAACACAGCATGTAGGTTACACACTACCTTATCCCCTCCCACAGCCTTCCATACCTAACTCCCCCAGTCTCCCCTGAGCAGCGCCACAAGCTCTCCACCGACCCCGAAGCCCTCTTCAAGCTGCGCAAGGTCTTCGAGACAGGCGGCAACCTCATCCACGACAGCACCATCCGCGGCACGGCCATGCAGCAGAAATGCCAGGCGGCCTTCCACCAAGCCATGCACGCCAAACTACACACCCGCCCAGACCTCCTCTCCCTGCTGATCCCCTCCTTCTCACCGGGCTGCCGGCGCCTAACGCCGGGGAAGGGCTTCCTCGAAGCGCTGCTCGAGCCCAACGTCACCGTAGTCAGCGACGCCATCACCGGGATCACACCCTCCGGCATCACCACCACCACCACCACCCCTTCCCCCGCCACACCCACACACGCCCCCCCAACCACCACCACCCACCCCCTGACGACCCTAATCCTCGCCACAGGGTACACCGTCTCGTCCGCACCACCCTTCCCCATCCACGGCCGTTCCTCCCTCGCCCTCTCCACGCGCTGGCACACCCACCCCGACAGCTACCTCTCCCTGGCTGTGGACCAGTTCCCCAACCTGTTCATGCTCTTCGGCCCCAACAGCGCGATCGGCACGGGCAGCCTGACGCGCATGCTGGAGGCGGCGACCGAGTACGCGGTGGCGTGCGTGCGCAAGCTGCAGCGGGAGGACTATGCCAGTATGGAGGTGCGCGCGGAGCGGGTGCGGGATTTTGGGGCGTACGTGGATGCGTATTTTGAGAGGACGGTGTATACGGAGGAGTGTCGCAGTTGGTATAGGAGGGGGGGGAGGGTGGTGGGGCTGTGGCCCGGTTCGACGCTGCATGCGTTGGAGGCGTTGCGGGCGCCGAGGTGGGAGGATTGGGTTTATGAGAGTGTGGATGGGGGGGAGGCCGGGGGAGGGAATGGGTTGAGGTGGTTGGGGGATGGGAGTAGTGAGACGCAGGTTGGGGGGGATGCGTCGTGGTATATTAATCCGGGGGAGGTGCAGGTGCCGGTGGAGGGGAGGCCAGAGGAGAATGAGCGGTATAAGGCGAGGCCGTGGTGTTATTAGATGTCGCCTGGGTGGTGGGGGGAAGAGGGGGTTGTTCATGGCTATTTGGTGGAGGTTGGTTTGTTGCTTGGCGTTTTGGGATGTTGAAGGGGCATCGGGCGTGGAGATGCTGGTGATTGGTAGTCGGAGAAGTGACGGTGGGTTCAAAGGCGAGTTTTTGATCAGGGCAAGACAGCAAACAGATGGAGGACGAGTAGCAAGTAGTCATGAGTATTCTTGTTGTATTGGCGCAGGCTATCATCATTCGTCGTTCATCTATACATGCTGGGGACTGTTTAGCTCCCCGCCTTGAAGGTCCTTCCGCTTGCTGTCTTGCGCTCCTTTTCTTCGCTGTCTGGCCTGGCTCTGCGGAGAACTGGAATATGGTTAGCTCTGAGGAGTGGTTGAGGGAGATAGCTGGCTCACCCTGGAGGAAGTCTGCCGTCCGACGTCTCATACGGGAGTGGATGTACGCCTAAAAGGGTTAGCTACGTTCACGTACTACTCATGCTCTTACATACCTTGGAAGCCTTGATGTGGTAGTGGAAGTAATCGCGGAAGGTTTGGATGTGCGAGATGACATCGGGCATCCGCTGGGGCGTGAGGTGGCGGGGGAAGAGAACTTATCACTGGTTAGATGCGAGCTCACACATCTCCGATGTAGGTACATACCGAATGTTACGTAGCCAATCTCGCCAGTGCCGGTGTTCTTCACACCAGGCACGCCCTGCAGCTCTAGCGGTGGGTCGTTGCGGAACAGCACCTGAGGCGCGTTCTGGATGGCGCGACGGCGGGCGTCGACAAACTCCTGGATAAAGACCTTGCCAAACACGCGGTCGGTCTCTTCCCTAAAGATGGTGCTGAAGATGACGGTGACACGGTCGTGGCTGGCCTTAACGTAGATAGCCTCCTCCTCACGGTAGTGGATCGCCTTGACCTCGCCGCCCTCGCGCACGCCCTGGGGTGCCTCCTCGGTGGTAAATTTTGCGGCTTCCTGCTTCAGGTGGTAGTGTTCCTGGTAAGCCTGCTCAAACGGGGCGGCCATGGCGTTGCGTTTAAGCAGGGAGATGCTCTTGATCAGCTCGTCTCGTGCCTCTGCCACCACGGTCAGCGTGTGCGAGTCGCACAAAGGTGATGGTACCAACCCTGCTCAGCCGGCAGATTCTCCAGGTCGATCAATATGGAAAAGTCGAAGCCCGGCTCTGGAGGGACAACGTAGGACCCGTACTCGCGGTTGAGGACTTCCTCAGCGCCGTAGCGCAACAAGTCTTGGAAGCAGCGGATCTGGATGGAGACCAGGATCTTGGTCTTTGACTCGGGGGTCGAGATGTGAAAGGTGACGCCATCGAAGTCGGAGACGGTCTGGTCGATGGATACGGGCGGTGCTCTGGTCGTCGGGCGCAAGGAAGAGGAGGGTCAGCGTCTTCCTTCGGATCATGCTAGAGAAGACTAGAACTCACCCGGAGAAGCGCTCCGTGAACACCGACTGAATCAGCACATTCTGGTAGTCGAGCAGCAACATCTTGAACAGTCGTTTAGTTCAATGGCCTGCTCGTGGGATGCCGTGTGGTAGAGAATCGAGTCGTAGTTGTCGGCGCAGCTGTGGTGGGGCCGCTACCATCAACAAGTGAGTGGGAGCTGACGTTGTGGCGGGAAGGCAGGCTGCCAGAAGCCCCTGGTCCCCTGAAGCTGCAACTTTGCCCCGCATTCAGGTGTGAGCCACAGAACGTTGGGGCAGTCGGGGCAGTTTGTGGCTCGTGCGTCGACCTCCTTGCTCTCCTGTTCCCAAGCGGGCCGTTTTACCTCCTTATCTTATCGCTGCCAAAAAAAGTTGAAGGCGTGAACATCCCACCGAGTTCGCGACGCCGAGACGCATTGAGAGCGACTGACACGGGTTTGAAGTCGGATTGGGAGTTGACATTGCCCGATCGCCAACATGGTTAAATCCTACCTGTAAGTTATCAAACATACCCCCGGATATGACCCCATATTTCCCAGCACGCGCACTCATTCTCATTCTCCCAACTTCTCTAGCAAATTCGAGCCCTCGAAATCGTTCGGCGTCGTCGCATCAACCAGCTCGAATCTCGTTTGGTCATCCAGGGGCAAGGCGGGCACTGGAGCTGGCCAAGCCATAGTCGCCGCCAATGAGGAGGTTCTCGTGTGGGACATCAAGAAGGGCGAGCTGCTGAGCCGCTGGCGGGACGAGAACTGCAGGGCCAAGGTGACGGCCATCGCCCAGAGCAGGATCGACCCGGATGTTTTCGCGGTGGGCTATGAAGATGGCAGCATTCGCATCTGGGACAGCAAGATCGCTACATCGGTCGTGAGCTTCAACGGGCACAAGTCGGCCATCACCATCCTCGCCTTCGACAAGACGGGCGTGCGCCTCGCCAGTGGCGCCAAGGACACCGATGTCATCGTCTGGGATCTGGTTGCCGAGGTTGGGCAATACAAGCTGCGCGGACACAAAGACCAGGTTACGGGGTTGCATTTCGTCGAACCGGACCCGGTACTGCAGGGCGAGGGCGAGGAAGAGCAGGCCTTGATGGCTGTGGACACCGAGGCGGCCGAGGGATTCCTCCTAACGACGGGGAAGGATGCGCTCATCAAACTCTGGGATCTCACTTCGCGCCATTGTATCGAGACGCATGTTGCGCAAACAAATGGCGAGTGCTGGGCGTTAGGGGTGACCCCTGACTTCAACGGATGCGTGACGGCAGGCAACGACGGCGAGATGACGGTATGGGCACTGGACGTGGCCGCGCTGGCGTCGTCAGCGCAAAAAGTCGACCTTTCACAATCCATCAACTTTCTCCGAGACAGGGGGACATTGCACCGGAATAGCAAAGAGAGGGCAGTTGAAGTCATCTTCCACCCGCGGCGCGACTATTTCGCCGTACACGGGGTCGAGAAGTCGGTCGAGATTTGGAGGATACGGAACGAAGCTGAGATCAAGAAAAGCTTAGCAAGAAAAAAGAAGAGGAGGAGAGAGAAACTGGCCAAAGACAAGAAGGCGGACGGGGATCAGGAGATGGACGATGCCGACGATAAGGCCGACGACATCGCCCAGGCTGATATTTCTGACGTGGTGGTGCAGCATGTCATTGTCAGGACAACGGGCAAGGTCAGGTACAGTCGACTGGGCCGCCAACCAAGGGAAAAAGGATTTGGAACTGCTTGTTGGGTCGACAAACAACCTGCTCGAGCTCTACACCATCGTCGGGAGGGACAAGCTCAAGTCAAAGGGCGATGCCCCGGATTACAACAAGGCCTTGGGCGTTGAACTG